GGGGATAAATTGTATCTGTGCAGACTTCAGCTTTTATGTGGCTTAAATAGAATTTTACCCTCATCAATGTCATCACCACTGTTGTCATTGCTACCTTTACCCAGTAGTTACTGTATGCCAGGCACAGTTGTAAGTGCTTTACATGGATTATATATTCAACAAATATTTGCTGAGCACCAGCTGTATGCCAAGGGTGCTCTAGGCATTTGGGAGACAGCAGTGAAAACAAGAGTGAACTCCCTACTCACATGAGGCTGACATTTTAGTAGCAGCTGATTGAAAATTTAGAAATTAAATGCAGAAAAGACTTGATTCTGGGAAATGCTAAGAAAAAATAAAGCAGGAAAGGGAGATGGGCCATGCTGGAGAAGGGGAAGTGGTGTTTCAGCTCTCTCTCATCTAATCCTCATCTACTCTGGGTGGTAGATATTATCCTATCAGTAGAACCTCTGTAAGTTGACCACCCAAGGGAGTGTAACAAACTGGTCAATGTATGGAGCTGGTCAACATAAGGAACTAGGCCTACTGTACTGATACGTACATGTGGTACATGTCCAGTCCATGAAAAGTAGGTCAACTTAAGGAAGTATAGATGTAGGGAGGTGGTCAACTAGGGAGGTTCCATGGTATTTCCAGTGAGGAAACTCAGGACAGAGACATTAAGTGACTTGCCCAAGGTTGCACAGCTAATGAATAGCGGAGCGGCGAGAGGCAGAGGTCTGTCTGACTTCAGAGCACTAAGAAGTCATTTACTTTCCTGGGCCTCCTTTGCAACAACTCTAGGTCAAGCGAGTGGATTCACCTCCTTTCAGCACTGAAACTCAGTGAGTCTTTTCTTGATTGTAACCCACGAGCTGGAGCTGCTAGGCCAAACCACATTAGCCACTGAAGCATCACAGGGTCATGGAGGAAGGGGATTTCCTTCTTAGGGGGATGGTGAGTGGAGATGGATGCTGGCTTTCCGGATGTGGACAGATGTGGCCCAAGGAGGGGTGCCTCCCTGGCCATTGTTTCTGTGGAGCAATGTGGGGGTGAGTTGGGGGAAGGGGACACTGGGGGAAGGACAGATAGATTAGCATGGGGACTTCCCTATTCAAATCTTTGTAATGCCATCCTTGGCCTTTTTTCCTCCCTTTTTTTTTCAGGAAGATTTTCAAATGTACAGAAGACTTGAGCAAATAGTACAGTGAATGTTATTGTACTGATGGCTAACATTTCCCCCCTTCGCACTCTCTTTCTCTATATGCGTGTACACATTTTATGTTTATTTGCTTATACATTTATTTGGAACCATTTGAAAGTAGATTGTAGCCATCACACGCTTCATCCCTACCTACTTCATCTCATCTTTTAAAGATGGGGAGAGTCTCCTACATGACTACAACTAACCTTTATCACACCTTGGAAATTCCACGTAGCTTAATATCATCTAGTGTGTAATCCATATTCATATTTCCCCAGTTGTTCCTCAAATATTCCTTATTCCTGTTTTTTTTCTTTTTCCAAAAAGAATCTAACGAAGGATCACACATTATATTTAGATGTCATTTTGTTTTTAGTCTCTTGGAGATAGCACTATCTCCTGCCTATCTCTCTCTCTCTCTTTTTTTTTTTTTTTTTTGAGACAGAGTCTCACTTTGCTGCCCTTGGTAGAGTGCCATGGTGTCACAGCTCACAGCAACCTCAAACTCTTGGTCTTGGCCAAGAGTTCTCGTGCCTCAGCCTCCCAAGTAGCTGGGACTATAGGCACCTGCCACAATGCCTGGCTATTTTTAGAGATGAGGTCTCGCTCTGGCTCAGGCTGGTCTCAAACCTATGAGCTCAGGCAATCCACCCACCTTGGCCTCCTAGGGTGCTAGGATTATAGGCGTGAGCCACCGTGCCTGGCCTCCTGCCTAATTTTTTCTTTTTCAACATTTTTAAAGAGTCTATTCAGTTGTCCAGGAGAAAGTCCCACATTCTCGAGGATAATGTGAGTCAGCAAAAGAAGTAGTAAGGGGTTGAGAGCACAGTACTTGTCCAGAGCAAGGCTGGGTCCCATGAGGGCTTTCAGGGTTAAGCATGATCTCTCCTGTCCTGGTGGTCACTGGTAGGCCATGTCACCTCCCCAAGGAAGCCCTCATGCTCCTTTTCCAGAGCTCTCCTAGCGCTTGACACACTGGTCTGCTGCCCTTTCCATGCTGCACTGTAATTACGTCTGTGTCTTCTCAGGTCAGGCTCTGAGTGCCTCTGGGGGAGAACAGGACTTAGACACACCTATACTTTCAGGGCCAAGGGCTCTGGCTCTGCTTAAGGGTGCAGGTTGTGTCTGCACAAGTGGAGAATGGAATCCAGTCCATATTCTACCTGTCAAATGATGAGGCCTGGCACTAGGCTGTGTCTGCCAAGAGGAAGCAGTGCCTTTTCTTAATTTATCTAAAGGACACATATGGACCATGACAGGCCTGCATAGCATTGTGTTAGCATTCATTTGGTGCTCAGTAAATGCTTATCACTTAAATGATAGAGCTTGGAAAGGGCTGGGGCAGAAGTAAGTTTTATCAGAAGAGATGTGCTGGTACTATTTTTTGGTGGGGGCCGGTGCCCTGATTTACAGCATTTGCCAATTCCCATAGTGTAAATACTCTCACAGAGGCTGATTGCAAGCCCACTGAGTTAGGAAAAGATGTGTGCAATTGGCTCTCATAAGCTCCTCGTGTCTGACTCTAGCACATCACTGCAGTTTTAAACTTATGATCTTAAAGTTCCATCTGAAACAGACTCTGAAGGAGGAGGGGAGAGAGAGAGACAGAGAGATAGAAGAGACAGAGATGACTACTTCACTTTGAAGTTAGGACCTCACCAGGGTGAGGAATTGCTTCATCTGAGTCCTGTGCACCCTGTGGGAGGAAACTTACCCAAGGGGAGGCTAGGTCAGTGAATCCAGCCCTCTAGTACTAAGCCCACCATGCGAAGCAAAACCTTCTGGCCACTGCATTCAGCCTGGCTGTGGCCTTTGACTCCAAAGAAAAAGCCCTAAGGGGGTGAGTCCTCCCTGTTCCTGGTATAGCCTTGTTCTGCTGCTGTGGCTCCTTCACACATACTGGTCACTGCTTCTAAATCCTACCTGCCTTCTCTAGAACTTGCCCAAGTCCCACTGACTGCAAGAAGCTGCCCTGACCACCTGGACATAAGTCCTTCCTGTCATATACAGTTTTGTGCCCCAGAATTCTTCCTCCAAGAGCAGGCCTAGGCCCTTCCAGACCCAGCCTCCCTTTCACCTAGATGAATCCTTGTCCATTGAAATTCTTATCCATTGATCTTCAGTTGAAGGGGCCCCAATTAACTAATTTGGCAATCCTTACTCAAATACCTACTATATGCTAAGGGGCTGGACCTTAGCAGAGTGGACCAAGGCACATAGAGACATCCCAGGGGGAGCCTGGGGCATCTTGGGGCCTTGGAGGAAGTCTGCTTTGTGCTGATATAACAGAACACTACAGAATGAGCACTGTGCACAGGACAGAGACTTATTCCCTCACAGTTCTGGAGGCTGGGAAGTCCAACATAGAAGGGCTAGCATCTGGTGAGGACCTGCTTGTGGTGTCATCCCATGGTAGAAGACAGAGGGCAAGAGAGTGCACAGAGCAAGAGGGGGCTGAATTCATCCTTTTATAAGGAACCCTCGCCATGATAACATTAATCCACTTAGGAGGGCAATGTCCCTATGACCCAAACACCTCCCATTTAGCTCACCTCCCAACACTGCCTCACTGAGGACAAAGTTTCTAACACATAACCTTTGGGAGTGTTTAAACCATTGCATGGTCACAGACAAAGGGGCACTGGGCCCAGCTTGACTGTGGGGGTGACTGTAGGGAAGCCAACTTCTAAGGTGAGGAAGGAGAAGGCACTAGGGGTGAGAAAGCTGGGGAGTTTGGGGCAAAGGGAACAAGGGTGGGAGGCAATCAGGCATTCCAGGATCTCTAGTGGGTTGGTCAGTTGCAAGGGCATGGAGGTGGGGAGGACGAAGCACGGCCAAGGTCATCACGACTGCCATCATGGTGGTCATGTGTAGGACCCTAGGAGCCACAGGAGGGAGCTACTGATTCCCAGCTGCATGTGTGGAGGGAATAGAGAAACAGTGCTGTGGAGAGATGGAATTGGAGGGAGGGGAGGGGAGGTTGAAAGGGGAGGTGTGGGAGAGGGCTCCCCTTCCAGTAGGCTAGAATCAGTCCTCTTAGCTGCTGGGCAGGGGCAGTGGCTCACACGTATAATCCTAGCGCTCTGGGAGGCCAAGACGGGTGAATCTTTTGAGTTTAGGAGTTCGGGACCAGCTGGAGCAAGAGCAGGACTCATCTCTACTAAAAATAGAAAAACTAGCTGGGTGTCATGGTGGATGCCTGTAGTCCTAGCTACTCTGGAAGCTGAGACAAGGTTTCTTAAGCCCAAGAGCTTGAGGATGCTGTGAGCTATGATGATGCCAGGGAACTCTACCCAGGGCGACAGAGTGAGACTCTGTCTCAAAAAAGAAAAGAAAAAAAGTGAGAATCAGTCCTTTTGATGCAGCTGAGATGTGAGGAGATGAACCAGAGGAGCAGCGGAGAGATGGCTTAGGAAGCTGCTTCTGGCCCTTCAGACACAGAGGTCTTGGAAAACTCTGTGGAACTATTCTCCAGGTCAAAAAATAGGGTATATTCTGCATAGTCATTTTATCTAACTGCCAGAGACTTTTTTTCTTTTTTCTCATCATCCAAGATGAAAAGACTTTTGATCGTTGAGCAGAGACCTGAAGGAGATGAGGGCATGCAGGCAGCTGGGGAAGGGTGTTCCCGGCAGGGGGACCTTAGAAAGGACGGGAGCAGGATGTGCTGGTAGGATGGATCGGGTGGGGATATGTCAGCCATGGCAGGTTTCTTTCGGGGATGAGAGGGACACATAGAGGGGTTTGAGCTAATAGAGGCCTTGACTGTTCAGCATCTTAGTTCTCCCTGACTTATTCTCTGTCCCCAGGGCCAACCATGGAGAGTGGTCAGCAAGTGTCTCGAAAAGCCCGGAGGCTGGGCTCCAGCCGCCGGCGTCAGACAAGAGAGCCAGCTGATGGCCAAGATGCCCCTTTGGCTCCAGAGCCAGAGACCTGGTCCTCTCAGGCAGCTGCAGAACTGCAGGGCTTCTTCCAGGACTGTGGTGCCATAGAGAGGGGCTTTGTCACCCGTGAGGACCTGGCGGTGAGCCCAAGGGCCCCATCTGACCCCTTGAATCCCTTTTCTGTAGCCTCCCAAGACTTCCTATCCCAGGAAGGCAACACTTATCTCTTGCTTCCCCTTTCTCTCATCTACAATTTATTCTCAGAAATGGCCAGGAATTTATTTATATGAACATGTAAATTACTGGTAAGGCTTTATGTGTTGCCCTCCTCCAGAAACAAGAGAAAGGATTTTAAACCAAAGAAGTGATGTGCAAATGGTCTATAATTTAGGCCCATTGAGCAGAGGTTTTTCTTGGGGGAGTAGTCAGAGTCTGAGAAATCAAACCATGCTGATGACTGCAAATTTCAGTGGAACATAATGCCAGGCATGGTCGTGTTCCATTAAGGAGTCTTAGGCTACGGCCTAGACCAATTTTTCTTTGGTTTCTCCCCATTCACTGAAAAGTGCCCATGTGGGTTGCAGGCGTTCCCTGGGCCTGCTCTCTTCCCCCAGATGCTGCTGTACGCTCCAGACTTTGTTCTTTCCCCATCCATCCGACCGTATAGTCCATTCCTCAGGGACACAACAATGTGTGAATAGCTGATGTTAAAATGTAATTTTCAAAAAAAATTTTTAAATGTGGCCAAATGCAGTGGCTCACCCTTATAATCTCAGCATTTTGGGAGACTGAAAGGGCAGGATCACTTGAAGTCAGGAGTTTAAGACTAGCCAGGACAGCAATATAGCGAGGACCCATCTCTCAACAACAGCAACAAAACAAAATGATCCAGGCCATAGGTACGTGGCCTTAGCCAATTGGAAGGCCTTAGCTACTTGGAAGGCCAAGGCAGGAGGATCTTTTGAACCCTGGAGTTTGAGGCTGCAGTGAGCTATGACAACACTAGTATATTCTAGCCTGGACAACAGAGTGAGACTCTGCCTCAAAAAAAAAAAAAAAAAAAAGGAAAAAGAAAAAGACTTTTGAGTAAATATAAAATCAACATTTGGGCTGGGTGTGGTGGCTCACGCCTGTAATCCTAGCACTCTTGGAGGCCAAGGCAGGTAGATTGCCTGAGCCCACGAGTTTGTGACCAGCCTGAGCAAGTGCAAGACCCTGTCTCTAAAAAATAGTAGGGCTTTGTGGCAGGCGCCTATAATCCCAGCTACTCGGGAGGGTGAGGCAAGGGGATCACTTGAACCCAAGAGTTTGAGCTATCATGTCACAGCACTCAACCAAGGGTGACAAAGTGAGACTTTGTCTCAAAAAATAAAATAAAATAAACATTTATCAAAGTTCTTATCTAATGAATTACTGATTAATAATTAATGAGGGAACCAGTAAGATGATTCAAAAACCATTTGAGAAACTAGGATATTTATAGGTGATTTAATGGAAAAGTGTTAAGATTGCTAAATTCAATTTTTAAATGGTTAATATCCAATAGTCTATAAATCTGTGAGGCTATCTGTCCTACCAGATAAAAATTATTTTCATCTCTCCTAGACAAAAATCTACAGGTTAAAAGTAACTTCAATAAGTCTTGGACTTTTAATTAAAGATAAAATAATGAGATGAACTAAGTCCATTTCTCTAGTCTAAACAATGCTTATGTAGTCCCTGCCTCCATATAACATTGAAAGAATGTGCCATCTACCTTTTTGCCTTATTTCTAAGTTTTAAGTAATTTTTCTGTGAGAATAAATAATCTCTATAGTTTTTTCTTGATGTACAAGGTCTGACAATTATGTTCATGAACTCATCCCTGGAAAAGTCCTACATACCTCATTGCTGAATGTCACCATGGTCACCTTCAAAATACTACCCTTGGGAAGCTGATGGCAGTGCCTAGCCCACCCTTCAAAGCAATTTTGAAACTCAATTTTGAATGGCCATTGGTATGGCCATCAGAGCTGTTGTCATATTGCCCTTGCTGTCTTGAATGTCATCTTTTCAATATTTTCTTCATCTTCAAGTAAAGGAAAAAAATCATTGGGGGCCATATCAGATGAGTAGGGAGGGTGTTCCAATACATTTATTTGTTTACTGGCTAAAAACTCCCTTATAGACAGTGTTGAGTGAGCTGGTACATTGTTGTGATGCAAGAGCCAGACTCTTCTCATGCCAAGGTTTTTTTTTTTTTGCAGTTTTTGGCTAGGACTGGGTTTGAACTCACCACCTCTGGCACATGGGACCAGCACCCTACCCTTTTGAGCCACAGGTGCTGCCTTCATGCCAACGTTTTTGGTTAAGATTTTCCTATTTCTCCATAGATGTTTACTTGGTATTCTATACTTCTCATAGTCAGCCAATAATTTTGACATAGAATTCAATGAATTTTTCCAATGTTTTCATCAGTTCTGCTTGTTATTGGCTGCCCTGATGTCTCTTCATCAGTGATGCTTTTTCTCCTCTCAGAAAAACATTTAATCCATTTGTACACTGCCATTTTCTTCATGGCATTACCTCCATAAATTTAGACTAACATGTCCCTGATTTCACTTCCACTCTTGTCAAGTTTAACAAGAAATTTACTGTTTGTTCCTTATTCTAATTCAAGCACCAACATTCTCAAGACAGCCCACAAAAACACACACAACAATAATGAACACCACTCAGCAAGACACTGACAGATGTGGACATGAACAAAGCTGTGAGACACTGATATATCAAGGTTATGAAACCTTACCAAGTTGTTTGTACAGTGCTGTCAACATAATTGCACTGTGGCAAGTTCACAAACTTATTGCCAGAGTGTTTATAATATGATATTGGGCCCGGTTATTTCCTTAGGTACAGCAGGGGTGTAAACTAAACATATGGGCCTCCTTGAATTTGCTCTACAAATGGGGAAATTTACAGTATTAAGCTATTTTAGCTTCTGCTGAGAAGTTTTCACATGGAATCCTAGACCAGATTTTTAAAACTTCTGTAGTTTGTTTTTTCTATTTAGTAACCAACTGTTCCCATTTTCCAACGACTGAAGGGGCACCTGGGATGTGACACTTTGAGTACTAAAACTGGGAAAGTTCTGGGCAAACTGGGCCTAGTTGGTCATCCTACTTCTATCCTAAGGCTAGGAAACCAAGCCCAAGACATTCTCTCCACTAGATGTCACCTACAGCACCTGTAAATTTGAGTGAATTCCTCTTTTCTTAAGGTCTCAAATTTTTGAAGTTCCCTCTTCTGTCAGGAGGCAGCTTTCCTTATGAAGTGGTTTCAGGCCAGCGTCCTTGGGGAACTTTTCAGGCACTGGCTCCATGGGTGTTCCTTAAAATGGACTTGTCACACCTGATTAAATGAGAATCATTCAATAAAACGGCACTCCAGGGAGGGCCTTGGCTGCACAACTGATTTATCCAATTATATCCTGGGAAAAAAGGAAGATAGATACTATGCATCTATAAAAATAACTGTATTGCCATGGAAAGTAAAGAGATTCAGAGAGTATTGGTTTCTGATTCATGGTGGGGGGAATCAGTGAGATTTAGATACCATTTAAAATGTTTAATTTTAGTTTACAAAAGTATAATCTGCTAAACTGAGGATTAGAAACAGTTTGAGAGGATAGAGAAAGAACTTCCTCACAGATCTATTAAAGTAAACCAAGAAAAAATAATATCACCTGTATTCCAACAAATAACCAGAACTAGATTTCCTTCATCTGTTCATTCAGTGCCATTTAATTAATTTTTATCCTGCTGGATCTTGGGTAAGCTGTCTGCTTCTGAACTCAAAAGAGTCCTAGAAATCCTCAGTCCGCTAGCTCAGTCTGAAGGTCATCCAATGCCAGCTCAGAAGCTTGTACCCAAGTGAAGCATAAATAGTTCACAGAACGTGGTACAGTTCTTTTCCTCTAGTCTTTGAGTTTGCCATTCTATGTTGAAGACACAAACTGTGACCTGCAGCTTATCACAAAGCCTTTAGGCAGGTGTAGAAAAGTGGAAACTTGTCTAGTAATAAGATTGACAGGCTGAGGTTATTTATTACAGTACCTGATAATATCAGAATGGAGGAGAGTGACATTCTCTACTGGGGCATAATACATAACTATGTCATAAGAGCTTGATCACTATTTCCCTGAAGTTAAGAACACATTATGGTTTTTGTTTCTTTTTAAATTTTGCTTTCAACTGGCTTTCACTCATCTTAGTTTGAAGTTTTGTTTTGTTTTGTTTTTAATTTTTTTTCCTTTTCTTCCTTTAGCAATTCTCTTGCCCTCAGCCTCCCAAGTAGCTGGGACTACAGGTGCCTGCCACAACGCCCAGCTTTTTGGTTAGAGACAGGGTCTCACTCTGGCTCACTCCGGCTCAGGATGGTCTCAAACCTCTGAGCTCAGGCAATCCACCTGCCTCGGCCTCCCACAGTGCTAGGTGTGAGCCACCATGCCCGGCCATGAACACATTATGACTAGCAAAGGCACTGAGAAATCTCTAGAGTCTTCCCATAAGGCATCCAATTTCTGAAATATTTATACTAATAGCATTTTACCTATGTAAACAGCCAGACGAGGCTGAATGTCTCTTCTGATTTAACTGTTCTTTCCATGATGCTCTTGTAACAGTGTTGAGGTATTTAATAAATATAGAGAAAAGATAGCCTAAAATTTTTATTTTATTTTTTCCTGAATTTAAGATCTGATCTTGGAAAGGCAAAATCAGAAAAGCTGTCAGAGAAGATTTGGGTACCAGATTAAGATAGGATTGTGACAGCCCAATAAATAGTACTTAGTTATCTAATTAACCAAAGTGACAGTAAAATAAAATATGTTGAAATATTTATTTATATATATATATATATATATATTTTTTTTTTTTTTTTTTGAGACGGAGCCTCAAGCTATCCCCCTGGGTAGAGTGCCATGGCACCACACTCACAGCAACCTCCAACTCCTGGGCTCAAGCGAGTCTCCTGCCTCAGCCTCCCAAGTAGCTGGGACCACGGGGTCTGCCACAACACCTGGCCATTTTCTGGTTGCAGCCATCATTGTTGTTTGGCGGGCCCCAGGCTGGATTTGAACCCGCCACCTTAGGTGTACATGGCTGGCGCCTTAGCCATTTGAGCCACAGGTGCCAAGCCAAAAGATTTTTGTTTTATTTTTTATTTTTTGGAGAGAAAGTCTTGCTCTGTCTCCTAGGCTGCAGTGGCATGATCATAGCTCACAGCAGCCTCCAACCCCAGGGCTCCAGTGATCTCTCTATCTCAGCTTCCTGTGTAGCTGGGACTAGGCCTGAACCACTTCTGGCCAATTTTTTTTTTTTTGGTAAAGATGGGGACTTGCCATATTGCCCAGACTGGTCTCAAACTCCTAGACTCAAAGGATCTTCCTGCCTTGGCCTCCCAGAGTGCTAGGATTACAGGCGTGAGCCACTTTGCCAGACTGCTGAGTTAGATTTTTAAAAGCTGGCTAATGTTTAACAGGCCAATAATCTTTGGAGTTATTTGTTGCATCAGACAAAAATTATTTACATCTCTCCTAGACAAAAGCTATAGGTTAACATGTGAGGAAATGGGGATGGCCGAAGACAAGTACATCTCATTTTAGAGGGTGGTGCAGAGTTGTCCCCAGTGGGAACAGCCATCCAGCTTACCACTTCCTTCCAGATGGCCAGGTTCAGCTTCCTGGGCAGCGAGGAGGAACCAGAGATGATCTTCAACTGGGTGGATGTGGAGCAGAAGGGACGTCTCTCCCTTGAAGAATTCAGCTCTGGACTCAGTATGTCTGTCCTAGAGGGCCTCCGGGGACTTCCTGCACAACCAGGCACTCTTGTGGTGTGTCCTGCACAGGCCAGGCAGGGTTGTCAGGAAAGGCGACCTCTTTCCCTGCCAGGGGACCTTCACAGCATGCCTGAGAGCAGTTCAGGGCACTTCCCTGAGTGTCCCCTCCTCCAGAGAGGCCTCCAGGCTTGCTTTCTGACCCTCCCTTGTCTTCTCCCAACAAAAGTCTTCTCTTAAGTGAGAAGTTGAACATCTCCCATTCTTGAAACCACAGGTCTTGTTTCCATCTGAGGAAGGTCATACATATTCTGGCCTTGGTTGAGGGATTCTAGGCCCCAGAGAGCAGCAGAGGGTGATAGCCCCAGGCACTGAGTGGGAATGTCAGTGGCCCACTGGGCAGGGCCATTCCAGCACCTGCCTCTCAGTATGGGTTGACAGGCCTTAGAGAGCCCGAGCTGGTGGGTCACAATACTCCCAATGATACTTTCAATGAAGGAAGAACCTCTGGCCCTGGAAAAAGAAAGTGCAGTGTCCTTGCAGAGCTCCTGCAAGACACAGCTTAGCTTTCAGTGTCCACAAAGCCATCCAGAGTTCCCCAGGCAGCCCAAAAGTTTGGAGGATGGCAAAGAGGGAAGCCAGGAATCTGTATTTACAGGTAGGGCCCCCCTGGAAGTGGTTGCTCCAATTCTGGTGATTAAGAAGCTGAAAGTGGGCAGGAGGAATCAGGGAGGCAGGTGAGGCACAGAGGGAACATTGCTGTCCATGCAGCCCGAGAGGGCCGTCTTCACACCTGACTCCAATAATGCCCCCCACGCCAGGGACTTCCCAGGGCCTATAGTGCAAACTCTAACCCCCTTCCTAGGGCCTGCAGAGCTTGCACCACCCAGACCCTGCAAACCTCCTAGGCTCACTCAGTGCCGCCCACCCCTCCGGTCTTGCCAACCTGGCTCCTATCTCGGGGTTTTTGTGTGTGTCATTCTCTCTAGCTGGTTAGTATGCACTCTCTGGAAATCCACATTCCTTCTTGTTATTCACATCTCAGTTTCAATGTCACCTCCTTGGGACACTCCTAACCACTCCATCTAAAGTGGATCCTCTCAGTCTCTCAATGGAAATTACTGTTTATTCCCTTAGTCCACTTAGCAAATTTGCTTGAAAGAAAAAAGAAGGGAGGGAGGGAGAGAGGGGAAAGGAAGGAACAAAAAAGGAGAAAGAAAGATCCTTTTCAACTCTTGCTAGAATCTTTGCTCCATAAGGACAGGGATTTGGGCTAATTTTGTCACCAGCCTATAATAGATGCTCAATAAATATCCCTCAAGTGCATGAACAGTCTGTTGACCACTAATGCAATTGCTGTGTGACTTCCAGCAAGTCTTTTGGCATCTCTGAGCCTCAGATGCACCTCTGTGAAATGGGCACAATGTCTACCTTGAGTAGCCTCCTGAGGCAGATAATGAGGAATGTATGAAGGTGGCCCAGTATAACTGACTAGCACAGACCTAACTACTTCCCCAAGGGTGGAAGCAGGGCTGGGTGGGAGGCCGGGGGCTTGGGCCCACCCCACTCTGTTCTCTTCCATCTCACAGAAAACATCTTTGGCTCCAGCCAGAGTTCCCAGAGGCTCCGCAGAAGGAGACCATTGCCCTCTAAGCGGGTATCTGCTATCACCAGCTTTCCAGCACTGGAGGAGGTTGATGCTGAGGAGAAGGAGGCGTTCCTTGCCTTCATGGAGCAACTGGGGACCAGCCCCCTACTTCCTGAGTAAGGCCTGTGTGGCGTGTTGTGGAGAGGGGCTCTCCTGGACACAGCCAGGCACAGATACTGGTTTGACCACTGGCTAGCTGTGTGACCACTGGCAGGTGTCTGACCTCTGACCTCTGTTTCCCTGGCTGCAAAATGAGCAGAAAAACTGTTGTGGGATTAAAACCTGCTTACAGGCTTGGTGCCGGTAGCTTAAAGGCTAGGGCACCAGCCACATACATACTGGGGCTGGCAGGTTCGAACCCAGCCTGGGTCTGCCAAACAACAATGACAACTACAACCAAAAAACAGCTGGGCATTGTGGTGGGTGCCTATAGTCCCAGCTACTTGGGAGGCTGAGATAAGAGAATTGTGTAAGCCCAAGAGTTGGAGGTTGCTATGGGCAACATAGTGAGACTTTGTCTCAAAAAAAAAAAAAATGGATGGTGCCTGTGGCTCAGTAAGTAGGGTGCCAGCCCCATATACCGAGGGTGGTGGGTTCAAAGCCGGCTCTGGCCAAACTGCAAAAAAAAATAGCTGGGCGTTGTGGTGGGCGCCTGTAGTCCCAGCTGCTAGGGAGGCTGAGGCAAGAGAATCGCTTAAGCCCAAGAGCTGGAGGTTGCTGTGAGCTGTGACGCCACAGCACTCTACCGAGAGTGACAAAGTGAGACTCTGGCTCTAAAAAAAAAACCCTGCTTACAGAATTCTTCCCACCCTTGCACCCTCTCTGCCTCGTCTGCCCTGTAAGGTGGCTCTCCTGAAGAATTACCAAGTTGAGCTAGCAGCCTCCCAAGGGTACTCAAATTCTTAATACTACCAGAGTCCTTGAAGGTGCTGTTCTTAACTCAAAAAGAGGTTCCCACGATGGGGTGATTTGGGGATCAAGACCTGAGTTGAACAGGTTTGGAGATAGGAGGGCATTTCCTCCAATCTGTCTCAGGCTCTGGGATTGCGGGGTTCACTCATGTTCAGAGAAAGGGAATTTGGCCTGAAAACTCTCCCCTCCCCATCCTCCAGCCCCTCCGGGGTCTGCTAGAGCCAGCAAGGGAGTCACCCTGCCTGTCTGTCCAGCTTTACTCACTCACCCAGCAGTGATCTGGGAGGGCAAGATCCCTCACGTTTGGCTCAGGCAGGCAGGGTGGGACTTAGGGTGTGGCCTGATAGGGCAAGGGGTGGGGAGCCATTTACAAACTTGGCAGTTTGGCCTGGGCTCAGCCCTTTGGCATCTGTCTTCACGACTTAATTAAGTCCACGTGAAAGCAGCATTCACTGAGTGCCAACTATGTGCTAGGCCCCAAGCTGGTGCTTTCATAGGGCATGTCTCTCATTCCCCACTGACCTTGCCAGGTAGGTATCAGCCTCTCCATTTCACAAACGAGCCCAGAGAGGGCATGGAACTTGCCCAAGATCACACGGTGTCAGAGTGGGAGAAGAGAGAAGGCAGATGGAAGCCCTGAGCTGTTAGGCTCCCAAGTCCCCCACCCCACTATTAATCACTGAATCATAAAGAGATGGAGTGGTGTGAGGGTTCAAGAAGGAAGAGGGCACATTTGGGAATAGTTCCTAGAGGAGGTGGCATTTGAGTTGCACCCGGTATCAGTGGATTTTGTGGCCTAGGTGCCAAAGTCTCTTGGAGTGTTGCCATTGAAACAGCAGTGAGGCTCCCCCTGCTTCTTGATCCCACCTTGTATCACATCTCTGGCTCCCCTCCCTTCCCCAGGCAGACGGAGATCTGGCAGCTATGGGGTAAGCTACGGCAGGAGGAGCCCCAGCTGGCAGGCAACCTGGCAGACTTTCTAGCCAAGATGACCAGCCGCCTGCAGGAGGCACAGGCTGACAAGGAGGCTTTGGAGCAGACCCTGAGGAAGTGAGTCAGGTGTTTGGCCCATAGCAGGTGCAGCCAGGGGTGTGCAGCCGGGCCTGGGAGATGAAAGGGGCTGAGCTGAGCTGGAGGAAGAGGTGGCTGAGGGGACCTGTTGGGGAGGATAGAGTTGGTCTGTTAGCAGGAGTGGGAATGGCCAGTGTATTTTGGTGCGAGGCCACTGTGGTGCCTGACTCCAGGGGTGGCATGCACATAGATTGCTAGATTGCAATGCGTGTGGTCACCCTGGTGTGGGTGAGGGTACAGCTCTGCCAGAGGGTCTGAGTTATGGGGGCAGGGGGATGGTGGCAGAGGAAGTGGAGACAAGTGATGAGGTGATGGGGACTGTGTGACAGTGCTAAGATAACTGGCAATGGTTATAGGAGTCAGCATGGTGAGAAAAGGGGACTAATGTCAAGGTCATGTGAGTCATGGAATTGTTATTGGAATGACAGGGGTCAATCACTTCTAGAGGTGCGAGATGAGCAGTAGGACAGACTCTAAACCCAAGCCCAGATCACCCCTGCCACCAGCAGAGTCCCAGAGGTATTCATGTGCTGCCTGGCCCTGGCTTCTACCCCTTCCAGGCGGGACTCTGACCACCACCGTGAGGTCCAGCAGCTCTACGAGGAGATGGAGCAGCAGATCCGCCGGGAGAAGCAGCAGCTGCAGGCTGAGGTGGGCTCCTGCTGACAGCTCCCCCCAGGACCACTCCACTGGCTGTGTAGTGGGGGTAGGGATTGGGCAATGTGGGATGGCAGGAGGCTGCTGGGGTGGATCCTTTCCCTTTCCCCAGTAGCTCCTGTTTCCTAGAGAGATGGGGTGGGCAATGTTGAGCCTGGCCCCCTTCCCACCTCTGCCAGGCCATTCTGTCCCCCAGAGCTGGTTCTTCTATTGTCTAGGGCTCAGTTGCCACAATCCAGGCCCAAGCTGGGGGTGCTGCTCAGAGAACCCTTCTTGCTGGGACATCCTGGCCCCTGCACCCAGGCCTGGGTGTAGGTAGAGTGTGGGAAGAGCTGGCCTAGTCTGGCTGGAGTCTGTAGGGCAGGGGCTGAGCCTGTTTACTCCACAGAGTGACTCTCGGGGCCTGGCCCTCAGCTCCCAGATGCAGAAGGCCCTGGAAGCCAAGGAGCGCGAGATGCAGCAGCTGGCTGAGGGCCAGAGGGAGGTGAGTGCTGGGGCCTCCCAGGAGCCCACTTCTGAAGGCTGCAGGACTCTGCCACCCCTCTCCTAGGGCCTACTGTCAGGCTGTCTGACTGCGGCCGATATGCCTGAAGCTTCCATCTAACCCTGAGGATTGATTGGGCTGGTCGGGCTCCTGTAAGAGAGCAGCCCTATGGGAAAGAAGTGTTTTGGGCCCTTTTCTGAGATGAGGCCAAGTAGTACTGTGGGAGCACTGAGCTGTGAGTCTGAAGGTCCTGGGACAAATCCCTGGTGTTTTGTTTAAGAGCTGTGCAAAACCTACAGAAATAACTTGGCCTAGCCTCAGTTTCTCCATCTGTAAAGTGGGGATAGCCACATCCTCTGCGCCTCCAGGGTTAGTTGTGTCACATGAGCTAATGGGAAAGCATTTTGAGATCCAACAAACACAAGGTATCAATGTTGCAGAGGCTTGGTGGCTGGGAATTTGGTGTTCAACTCTTATCTGTACTGTCAGCTGAGTGACCTTGGGCCGATTTTTAATATTTTTGAGCCTTGGTTTCCTCATCAGAGAAATGGAGATCAGAACTCTCTATTAGAAGGCTGCAGGCCAGGTGTGGTGGCTCATGCCTGTAATCCTAACACTCTGGGAGGCCGAGGCAGGTAGATTGCTTGAGATCAGGAGTTGAGACCAGCCCGAGTAAGAGTGAGACTAAAAATCGAAAAACTATCTGGGCATTGTGGCAGGTGCCTGTCATCCTAGTTACTCAGGAGGCTGAGGCAAGAGGATTGCTCAAGCCCAAGAGTTTGAATTTGCTGTGAGTTATGATGCCGTGTGTTATAGTAGGAGTTATGACACCTACTATATGTGTGGGTACTGTCTTAGGCTCTTGTCTACCCAGGGTGGCAGATTGAGACTCTGTCTCAAAAACAAATAGAAGGCTGCTGTGAAAATTAGGGGTTCTATATGCAAGGGCCTAAGACAGGGCCCAGCACATATAATAAGTACTTTATACATGGGTCATTATGAAAGTTTTGAGATAAACTAAAATCAAGAAACACAAAATCTGCAGACAGAAAAAGATGAAGCCCTCCCAGCACACTGATAAGCCAAGCAAGTTGAAACTTGCACAGGTAAATCAGACAGGACACTGTCAACGTTTCTTAGAAGCAAAATAATGGACCATAACACAGCCTGTCTCAAAACTTCCATAGTGACCTATGCACAACACGGTTGCTCTCGTCTGAATTTGACCTAGCTTCCCGCTTAGGGTCAGATTATCTGCTGCCCTGACTTGGCTGGCCTCGTAACCTGTAGTCACTTTTGGTTGGAATTGTGGCTAAGGTTTTCGGCCAGAGACTCTGCCCCACTATTTGTCTCTTCCTTCCTCAGCTTGCAGGCCACTGACTTTGCCAAAATCACCACTGTTGTAACCAGGATAACCAGCATCCCTTCAGCCCTGGGCAAGGTCCTCAGAGCCTTTCCCACCACTACCACGGATGGCCCTGTCACGAGGTCTTCCCCTTTTCACTAGGGCTGATTTCCCAAGGGTCTCCTTGGAAATTGAGGCAGAGCCCCTTCTCCCGAGAGAACAGCTTGGGCTTTCCTGATGGGGCCATTTTATCCTGTCCCCTGCGGAAGTGAAGTTCCTCCCCGCCAGACCACTCATTCCTTCGCCCCCACAACTACTGATCAAGCCCCTGCTATGTGCCAGGCACTGTTCTAGGTTTTGAGGAACATGATAGACACATACTCCTGCCCATGGAGTTACCACCTAGTCAGGGAGATGGGTGATAAGACACAGAAGTAAAATATATAACAGCTGAAAAAAATAAATCAATTGGGAGTTAGTGATAAATGCTAGGGAGAATAAAGTAAAACAAGGAAGGAAGATGGAAGGGCTGGGGGGCGAGTGGAATGACAGCTGAAATGAATTGATAAGAGTCCAGGAGGGCCTCACTGAGATGACTTTGGAATAAAGACTTGAAGAGGGCAGAGATCAGCCAGGAGCTATTAGGGGCAAGAGCATTCCAGGCAGAGGGAACAGCAAGTACAATAGCCCTGAGGTAGGAATGTGCTGTGATTGTTCCAGTCTCAATGGGAGGGGAGGAGCTGCAGAGAAGGCTGTGCAGGGCCTTTGGGACCATCGTGAGAGGGCTACCTTCCACGTCTGTGCTCCGGCAGCTCCTGGCTCTGGGTCTTGTGAATTGCTGTTGGATCAGGAGCTCCCTGCAGACCAATGGGGCTCAGGGACCAGCAGCCCTTGCAGGGTTTTGAAGAGAGGAGGATGTGATCTGATTTAGGTTTTGGGCCTTCGTGGTGCTGGCAGTTTATGTTTCTCACACAGTCTCTCCCTCTTCCCTATTCACTATTTCAAATGTTTCTTCTGGGTAGGAGGTAATGGAGCCAGTTAGGCCAATGAGGATAACCACCCCCTCCTACTCCTGATTTAGGCTGGGTTTCCCAGGAGCCTGGGTGGGGAGTGGGTCTCTGTGTCCCACTGTGGCCCTGGGAGGCTTCTCCCCTCCTCACCCTCTGCACACCCTGCAGCTGGAGGCCAAGCTCCACCACCTCAGTAGCACAAAGCAAGAAGCCAACTCGGAGAACCAGCAGCTTCGGGAGGCCGAGCGCGACTTAGCTGGGCAGCTAGAGGAGGTGCGGGGACGGCTGCAGGTGACCAGGAAGCACCTAAATGCCGCCAGGGGCCGAGTGTCCTGGCAGATGCAGGAGGAAACAAGGCAAGTGGCTGCCATCCCTGGACTAGGGTGGACACTAGGAACTTCCTGGAAGAAGGGTGTGGGGCTCAGTTCTCTAAGGCTCTGGTTAGCACACAGTACGTATCCCACATCCCTCCTTAAACCTCTCAACAACTCTGCCAAGCTGGGATTATCATGCCCATTTCTCAGATGAGGAAACTGAGGTGCAGAAAAAAGGAAAGACTTGTGCCCAATGTCACACAATTGGAGCTAAGACCTGCACGTGTGTGTGCATATCCATACACACATCCATAGGGTCTAGTGCAGGCTGGACCTCTGGCAGGGGGTCGTTCTGCTTGTTATGGCTCAGAGGAGTGGGACAGGCCAGAATGGTCAAGGAAGGCTTTTTGGAGGTGAAGCTTCACATGGGTCTTGAGGATGAGCAGGACTCAATGTGTGGGAGCAGCGAGGTACACACACCAGGTGACAGGACTGTCTGAGCAAAGTCTTGGAGGAGGGCCCGCCCGGGCTGTGCAATGGATAATGAGGGATACAGGTGGGACTGTGTGTGACACCCCTACTTCCCCTCCCCTCCCCTCCCTGCTTCCTTTCTAGTGTCTCCAGAGCAGATGAGATGGCCCAAGGCCCTCAGGCTATCTCCCCTGAGGAGGCTCCTCTGCCCAGGCTGTTTGGGGACCATGAGGACTGGGGTCAGCTCCTGAGCAGCATCCACAGCCCTCCACACACAGCCCTGCAGCTCTCCTGGAGCCCACCCCCCACCCCAAGAGCTGCATCAAGCCCTCAGACACCTCGTGTGGTCAGGCAGATCTCCATCTCAGAGCCACACACTTCGCTATTTGGTCAAGAGCCATCTTCAGACCCCGATGGAGCTCCAAGGATTCCCCCCAGGGTGACTTCCAGCACCAAGAACGAGAAAGGAGTGGACCCAGAAGGACAGGATGTCAACCCAGAGCAGCCTGTAGAGAACCTTCCCAACCCAGACCACAGCGAGGAGCCAGAGTCTAGACCCAAGGGCCACTTCCTCTGGGATATCCCAGGAGCTGGGGAGTCAGGAAGCCTGGTGGCAGCTGCTCTGAAGGTGCTCACTCCTTTGGAGGGGGAACCACCTTCCCATGTGAACTCTCTTCTTTCTCAGGCCCAAGCTGGGCCCAGCAAACATTCAGACACAGATGACAAGGGTCCCGGGCCTGACCCTGCCCCAGCCAAGCCACCCAGGCAGATAGAGGTCCTCCATCACAACCTGTACGCCACTGGTTCTGAGTCAGGGGCAGGAGCCCAAAGGGCCAGAACCCTCATACTAAAGCCAGCTGGACTTTCCCTGGGTCTGGAGTCTGTGGGAGATCCCACAGAGGACCTGGGGCAAGGCAAGCCGGGCCTGGCTCAGGGCAAGCTGGGCCTGGCTGTGCAGGAGGCCCAACCCGAGGAGCTGAGAGAAGGTCCTGGCCAGAGTCTGGAAAAGGAACCAAAGGCTGAGGAAGGAAAACAAGTGGATGGGGGTGAGCAGGACCTCGGTTTAGAGCAGTCAGCTGAGGTTCATGGTCTGCAAACTGGGCCTTCAGGACTCCCCCAGCAAGACACACAGCCGGCTCCTCTCACACCTGACTCACCACAGACAGGACCAGCAGCCTTTGCTTTTGGAAAACCATCACCTCCAAGGGACTCTCCTCCCCTCTCCTCTATGGGGGCTTGGCCTGGGGCTGCAGCAGGACTCCAGGAGCCCACACAAGCCATGTCCACTATCATAGCTGAGCTGGAAGCTCAGCCCAGGCCCCAACCCATGACTGCTCACTCAGAAGAACAAGGCCCCCCTCAATCCAGGGAGCCAAGGGCAGAGAGGAGGCCTGAAGATCTAGAGACGGGCTCCAGGGAGGCTGAGCTGACCCCATCCCTGGGGGACCCCATGGCCAATCAGCCTCAGGCCAACCCTGATTACCTCTTCCATGTCATCTTCCTGGGAGACTCCAATGTGGGCAAAACATCTTTCCTGCACCTGCTACACCAGAACTCCTTTGCCACTGGGATGACAGCAACTGTGGGTAAGGTACCAGCCGGGGAGGGCTGCAGGGAGTGAGGGGAGACCTGGGCCAGGGCCAACAAGCCGGAGCAGGCCCAGAGCAAGCCACCTGGAGGAAGCCGCAGGTTCTGCCCTGGCCACAGGCCTGCATTAGACATTATTTTACATGGGCATAGTCTTACTATTTCACTAATTATCTCTAATTACAGGTAATTTGCTTTTTCTGCATTGATCTGATTAGCTTAAAATGTGCTTCATCAACAAAGCACCCTGAAATTTAGGTGCCAGTGCTAGTTGATAGTGAAAACAAGCAAGTGTCCACCCACGTGGCCTGTGGGCAGGCCACTGCAGGGTCAGCCTGGCTGGATTTGCTCATTTCTAGCTCCAGGCCAGGCAGCCATGCTCTGGCAGGAAGTCACCTAGGGCTAGTCGAATATTTTACATAGATGTATCTATAGAATGTGGTAAGTTAGGAACCTAAGTTCCTGAGTTCAAATCCCAGCTCTGCCACTTCTTAGGTATATAAACTTGGGCAAATCATTCAACCCCTTTGAGTCCTCAAATCCTCATCTGTATAAGGAGGACAACAGCAGTGCCAACTTCCTAGAGTGGTTTGTAAGCATTAGTTAAGTTAATATATGTCAAGCTCTTAGAATAATATCTGGCACATAGTGAGTGTCAGATAAATAACAGTTATTAATATTGTCGTTTTTATTCTTAAAGTAAATAGTTCATAATGTCTAACTCAGTGGCTCCTGAAAGAAATGGCCTGAAGCAAAAAGATTCCCCTTCCTAAAAGCATCAGGATATCTGAGCACTAAACGTTGTATAGACTACAGAATAAAAGCTTGAGAGAATGAAGGGTAGATCCATTTAGGGACAAAGATGAGGTGATACATGTCTTTGTTTCAGGCCAGGGCATGCGCTGACTGGAGAGCAGTCAGCACTCACACAAGAGAGGCCCAGGACAGATTCCCAAACTTTTCTCTGCTCAAGTATCCTCACCTGGAGAGCTAGTTAGAAACTCAGGGGCCTCAAGAGGGACAACCCATAGCAGGCTTGACCTGATGTTGAGAGGGGCCACAGGGTGTACAAAGGCCACTATTACCGACCTTCTGCGATGTACCAGGCATCTTCCCTGCAACAGGCCTCCTTATAATTGAACTCCTTATTATGCAGTAGGAAGGTCCCATGGAATTCAGAAAAGCTTAGGTTGTATCAAAACAAAACAAAACAAAAACCCCAAACAGAGCTAGCCTGCATACACTGCAAGCCAGCTGAGATGAGGTGTACAATCCAAATCTGTCCCAGTCCCAGCTGCAGTTTACTGCCCCCTGGTGGCTGTCATCTATTCTGGCTTAAATATCTCAGAGGATGATCCTGGTTTCACTAGCCAATAGTTTCTCAACCAGAGTTATCTTCCCCCTGTTTCCACCCTCTCTCTCAGAAAAATAAGAGAGAACTAGAGCCAATGGAGTTATATCTGAATGTGCATTTTCTATATCTACTCCCATTTTACAGATGAGAAAAACAGAAATTGAAGACCTGTTTAAGTTTCTTGCCCTATCTGAGCTCCAAAGTTCATACCTGAAGCCTTCTGTCTCAAAAGCCCATACACTCCATGGAAAGTTTATCCTCTTTGGGGTTCATAATTACTCTCTCCTTGAGCTGCTCATTTAAAATAGCAGATTCAGGCTGGGAGTGGTGGCTCACGCTTGTAATCCTGGCAGTCTGGGAGGCCGAGGCAGGTGTACTGCCTGAGCTGACAGGTTTGAGACTGGCCTGAGCAAGATCAAGAGCCCTGTCTCTAAAAACAGCCAGGTGTTGTGGCAGATGCCTGTAGTCCCAGCTACTCGGGAAGCTGAGGCAAGAGAATCACCTGAGCTCAAGAGTTGAAGCCGTGGGCTATAACATCATGGCACTTTACCCAGGGTCACAAAGTAAGACTCTGTCTCAAAAAAATAAAATAAAATAGCAGATTCCTTAGCCAGGTATGTTGGCACACACCTGTAGTCCCAGCTACTTGGAAGCTGAAGCAGACAGATTACTTGAGCCCAGGAATTTGAGGTTGCAGTGAATTATGATGACACCACTGCACTCCAGCCTGGGTGACCGAGTGGGATCCTGTCTTGAATGAATGAATGAATGAATCAGCAGATTCCCAGAGAAGGAGAAAATAAATTCCTAGCAATTTATATGGTTAAGTTGTAACACATTTGGGAGGAGGGTGGGGGTTCGTGGGTACCTTGAGGAGGGGGTGAGCAGTGATGGGGAATTATCAAATGCAAGGAGAATTGTAAAGTTGTTCAGTAGATTCCCTGGTAGGCATTTGAGCAGAAGTTGGATTAGATGACCTCAGAGGTTCCTGCAGACATTGGGCTTTTTAAGACCCTCAGGAAAGAGGGTGGTAAGAACAAGCGGATGTGGCTTCTGCTTCTCTCTTGCTGAGGTCAGGTCTCCCCTGGCTGCCCCTGCTCCCAGTTTCTTTGTGGAGGAAGGGGGCGGGAGAGAGGGGAGCCTATGGTTCAAGCCACCACCAGGGGGCAGCAGCAGGTGCTTATGGACAGCAACAGTGCCGTAAGCCACTTCACTGGCTCAGACCTGAGCTGGTGTTGCTTGTACTAGGAGATTCATCTTTTGTGAGTTGGCCTGGGGTCTGCAGTGGGCTCTGCAGCTCAGGGTTCCAGTAGGAAAGAGGGTAGGGATGGGTACAAAGCACCACCTACCCATCCCTGCAGCCCTACTCCACCTGGTTTCCTCAAACCTCTTTGGGATTTGACCATATTTCTTGGGATAGAAAGAGTCTAGAACTATGACCACTGGGAATGGCGGGGCTATGAAATGAGAGGGGCTGGAGATCAGGGAGATGAGAAATCATGGTGATAATAAAAATTACCACTTCTCCAGCACCCACCAGAAATCATTATTGTCTCAACCACTCTGCTCTGTGGGTCTTCTTAAATTGCCACCTTGCAAATGAGGAAGGAGGCTCAGAGAGGTGAAGTGATTTGCCTGAGGTCATGTAACTGTCCGTATACTGAGACTGGTGATCCCAGTCCCTTGAAGGATGAAGCCAGTGTCCCCTCTGCCCCTCTAGGCTGCCTGTCTAGTTGAGGGGGGGAGATGTATGGGACTGAAAGTTGTATTATAAAGATAAAATAATGTGACTTGTTTTCCGGGTGGCCTGAACTGTGCAGTTGAACAGACAAGGCACCTTGTGTTGGCACAACCTCATGTTGCGGCTGGGTGGTCTGTGAACGCTTCTTGAAGGATGTGGGCCCTCGAGTATGGATGGAATTTGGAGAACCAGGGAAGCCTTATAGCCAAGGGCTCTATCCCATGGTGGCTGGTCTTGGGAATAGATGTATACCGAGGCAGGCCTTAGCTTCAAGTCCTGGATGGTGACTTATAAGTGGGTCTTAACCTTTTTTGTGTCCTAGGGGTGGATTTTCAGGTCAAAAATCTGCTTGTGGACAATAAATGCTTTGCGCTGCAGCTCTGGGACACCGCTGGCCAGGAGAGGTAACAGGCACTGTCCGTATAAGTTGTGTCAAGCACCTGGGCTGAGCCTAGGGGTGTAGAGGGATGGAGGGAAGCCCTGACAACGTGGGCAAAAGGAAACCAAGTGCAAACAAGCCAACTGCCCCTGAGGATTCTGGAGGCCAGGGAAGGAGAGATGAGTGAAGCCGAGTTGTGTCAGACACCGTGGCAGGCACAGAGGCCCCTCAGACTGGCATATGTTAGGGCCATCCCAACACGACCCTCAGGGCATAGCCATTCAATCACCTGTCCCTCTGAAGACACAAGCCTCCCACTTTCCACCTAGGCAGCAGTGATCAGCCTAAAAGTTGAAGTTGCATCACGAATTCTGCAGATCCACTTCCAGAAATTCATTCTATGGATAGACTCAGACATGACTACACTAACAAAGGGAACAGGACCACCCACAATACTATCCCTTACCTTACGAAACATTGGGAATAGCCTACATGTGTATCTGTAGTGGACGCACTGGTTAAATAAATCAGATGCAACCACACAGTAGAACACTATGAAGCTACACACACACACACACACACAAGAGACTGAGGACTCCCTCTATTTACTAATTGAGAAATATCTTTAAGACATCTTAACTGGAAAAAAGAAGTGCAGATACTGAATATTAATGAGCACAATGAGTGCTTTACACTGTTTTGTATAAAGCAGGGGGAAAATATGTGTTTGTACTATACATGTGTCTGTGTGCATATATACATATATATATGCACACATAAATTACTGCTGGAAAAAGATTTCAGAAACGTGGTAACCCTGGTTATCTCTGAGGAGGGAGACCACGTGGCTGTAGGATGGGAGGGAGACTTTTTATTGAGTGCCCTTTGGCCCCTTTTGAAATTTGAGCCATGAGATCTGTCCCTTTGTCAACAATAACTGTGCTGTAAGCAAGAAAGCATGTGCACACCCTCTGGGGGTGGCGATCAGAGGCAGGCCTGGTCAATCTCCCTCTTTGCAGATGGAGTGGCTGTGGCTTAGAGAGGTGAGGTCTGGGGCCAGGAGGCCTGGTGTGGCCTCACACAGACTCTCCCGGCAGGTACCACAGCATAACGCGGCAGCTGCTCCGCAAGGCTGATGGGATAGTGCTCATGTACGACGTCACCTCCCAGGAGAGCTTTGCCCACGTGCGCTACTGGCTAGACTGTCTCCAGGTGAGCAGAAGGTTTCTGGGGTTGGCCCCAATTTCTGGACTCAAGAGGAAGCTTAGATCCTGCCACTCCCCCTTGTCTCTCAGGATTACAAATGACACAGCAGACATATGGGTGACACTCCCCACTGAAGGCAGGTGGTTGGGTGAGCTGGGAGCACGATAGTACAAAAAACCCACAACTACATGGTCCAGCCTTCAAACCAAACTACTTCCTTTATCCAGTGAATGTTTCTTTCCTACGCATAGCAGTTCTGTTGGTGATGCTTTCTTCCTACACCTGAGGATAATGGAGGTCTAGTGCCACTCCAGGTGATAATTCCTCTGCTCACATCTAGTTCTTCCCCCCACATACTCTCTCAATGCACATCTACTGGAATGCTGGAGGGTATACTGGCATAGCAGAGGGGTATGAAGTTAGCCATATTGTTGTCTTCTCTCCAAAAGTTTCTAGTCTAGTTGAAGAGATGCTAAAGAAGCAGATAAGATAATGTGTGAGGAGGAGAGCTGGACTCTAGGGTCTGATAGGACCTGGATTTGAATCCCAGCTATCCCATCCCAGCTCTGTGACTTTGGACAAGTGACTTAAACCTCTCTGAACTTCAGTTACCTGACTTCTCTCATAGAGGACTTGTGAGGGCTGATATAATTGCTTTCAGCACAGCACCTGGTATATAGCAAATAGTAATCAGAAGCTATAATTATTATTATTATTATTATTATTCATGAAACAATTAGGAAATGTGGGCCAGGCACGGTGGGTTATGCCTGTAATTCTAGCACTCTGGGAGGCTGAGAAGGGAGGATCACTTGAGCTCAGGAGTTTGAGACCAGCCTGAGCAAGAGTGAGACACTGTTCCTACAAAAATAGAAAAGTTAGATGGGTGTTGGTAGCATGTGCCTATAGTCATAGCTACTTGGGAGGCTGAGGCAAGAGTGAGCCTAGGAGTTTGAAGTTGCAGTGAGCTATGATGATACCATTGCATTCTACCCAGGGTGACAGAGCAAGACTTGGTCTCAAAGAAAACAAAATTGGAAAATGTGCAAGGCAGCCTATATAATCAAACATTGGACTATTTGACACACACAGGGAAAGCGGGACATGGGCAGAAGCAATCCAGGAAGGCTTCCTAGGGGAAGTGCCCTTGAGGTTGGTCTTAAATAGTAGGTGAGATGTTTGCAGGCAGAGAGGAGGGGCAGGCTCATTGCAGATGGGGGGAGGGTATCCAGGTGAGAAAGATGTGGAGTGAACGGGACCCAAGAGGGGCACATGTGGAAGGCACACTTCTAGGAGAGTAGGGCCAAATCTGCCCAGGGCCTGGCATATACGGGTATGGCTGAGAGAACATGTTCTGTGTGCAGGACACAGGTCTGGACGGGGTGGTCATCCTTCTCCTGGGAAATAAGACGGACTGTGAGGAGGAGCGGCAAGTGCCCACTGAGGCTGGGCAGCAACTGGCCCAGGTAAGAGCCTGAGCGTGACCCCTCTCCCAGCCTGGATGGGGCAGATGCCTTCCTGGCAGGTAGTGAATTAGGGGGCACCCTGAGCTGGGCAACTGAGAAGGATCCATTGCCCGTTCCTGTCTCTGCCCTACCCAAAGGCCTGGTCAGCGTGGACAGCAGCCTGGTTGTCTCTACTGCCTACCCACTGGTCTCTGGAGACCAGCCTTAGACCCAAACATGAGGCTGCGGTGGTGGGTATGCCATTGAACCTCACTGTTGAATTAGCAAACACCCACACAATGTCCCAACCTACAGAAAAATATCTACAGAGTAAAAAAGGGTTTAAAATAGCTTCACTTAAAATTCCCAATCAAACCTTAATTTTATCTCTGGTCTCTAATTAACATGTTCCCTTTTAATTTATTCTGTCTTCAGACTCCAACTTTTCCTTGGGAAGATTACATCAAAAGCCTCACTGCCAGACAGTGGATACTATTTATTTACAAATAGTATCTAACCACATTCTGGAAAATCTGGAGAGTAATAAAAGGGGGGGGATCGCTCCTCGCTCCCCCCTCCCACGATCCCCGTGGCATTTCCATATTGTACTTTCTTTCTCTTTCTTGTTCATTTCTCATAATCATGAGGTTACCCCGTAGCTCCCAGTTGGTGAGTTGCTTTTTTTTCCCCTTAACAGTCCTAGCTCATTCCTTTGACATGATAATTCTCCTCTGCAATTCCTTGGGAGAGGAAGAATCAGAAATAATAATCCCTGAGGGAATACACGTGGATACCCGTGTATGATGTACAATCAAACATGTTTATGTGAGGATTTTTTTATAGTATTATTTATAAGAACAAATATTTGGCAGCAGCGGGTGGCGAGATGGTGGATGTTCATGTGAGAGGCCAGGATTTGCTGTTAAGAATTCTGTTCTGGAAAGATATTTAAGGGTGTGGGGGAAATGCTTATAATATAATGTGAAGTCAGAAAAGCAGCTGCGAATCTGGATATAGGTTGGGTTGAACCATATGAAATCACTTGAACCATATGAAATCACTGACATTTGACTGGCGCCTACCCAAACAGTGATTTCATAGGGCTTAACCTAACAGTACAGTGATATTTAGGGCCCCCCACCCCCTGCTCAGTAAAAGGTTATATAAAATAGAATGGAAATACATACCCAAATCCTATTAAGATCAGTAGTTTTTGTCTTGAACTTACACTTTTTTGTGCTGTATCTTCCATTATTTTCTCCAATGAAATATTTTTGAAATCCAAAAATGTAAGTAACATTTGTTAAATGTTCCCAGAGGCATTTCTCCAAGTTGGGGTGCAGGCAGCCCATGTAACTCTGAAGGCTGAATGTCTCTGGGATATGCCCTTGACATGAGGGTGGAGGGGCTGTGAGCAGAGGGGCCCAGCTGGGGGCCATGGGCCACACTGATCTGGGACTACCTGTCCTGTGGAGGTCAGCTTAGGGAAGCAGTGGGCAGGACTCTGATGATCAGGACTTTAGTGTTGGGGACTGCACCTGGCCTCTCAGTGGCCTCCCCTAAGGCACACATGCCCCTCCCTATGTGGCCTGCAGGAGCTGGGGGTCTCCTTTGGGGAGTGCAGTGCCGCCTTGGGTCACAACATCTTGGAGCCCATAGTGAACCTGGCCAGGTAAGTGTTACCCCACCCCACACCCCTCACCACCGAGGAACAACCTCCATCTTCACTTCTGACTTCTTTGTGGGAAGGCAAGGCCTATTCTGAGGAAATGAGTCAAGGAGAACTGAGTTTCCTGACAGGGAGGGAGAGAGCACTGTACTGGGAGTCTCCTGACTCCAGCTTCACCATTTCCATTAGTTGTATCCTTTCCCAGAGGCACCTACCCCTCCCTGAGCCTCAGTTTTCTCATCTATAAAATGGAATGGAAAAGGGAGTGTCTGTTTCCTATTCCCAACTTTCCATGGATTTAGAATAAAATACAAATGCCTATACCATCCCTAATGCCATCTCCCCTGCTCCTACTCTCTCTCTCTCTCACACACACACACACACGCACGCACGCACGCACGCACGCACATACTCAACAAGCTCCAGCCACTCAGAGGTGCCCTCCCTGACCACCCCTGTGATCCAATTTTAGAACACAGCTCTGTTTCATAGCCCTTCTTGGCAAATTGTAATTACATATACATTTGTTTTCTTGTTGTCCAGGAGGTCAGGGCCATGTCTGTTTTGTTCAGTTCCTCCCTCCATACCTGAGGCTTGGCATGTACCAGGTGCTCAATAAATGAATAAAATGAGTAAGGGGCGAGGGGTGCTAAATCAGGTGAGCTGCGTCTGCACATGGTAAATACATCATGAATAAATGAATAGGCCTCATTTACTTCCTAGCCCCCAATCTCTCTCTTGGCCTTGAGACTTGGCCCACTGCCCACATGAACCCCACTTTCTGCTAGCAAGCCCTGTCCACAGCGCAGGTCTGAGCTCAGACACCACCCACCTGCTTCCTCCTTGAATCCCCCAGGACCTGATGCGGAGTTCTCTGTGTGTTCCCCTAATCTGGTGTCACCCCTGGGTTGCAGGTGTCCATGTCTGTCCTCCTCACCTCTCAAGGCAGGGAATGTTGGCTTCTTTGTGTAACCAGAGTCCCTTGCACAGTGCCTGGCCTGAAAGAATGCCAGAAGGGGTCAGATGGCTAAAGTCTCTGGGGCCCCCATGTGGAATGTGCGGGGTAGGGGGGCAGTGCAGTCTCCAGCCCCCCGCAGCTCCATCCATGGGCCCCTCCATGCTGCTCCTGGGAGGTGAGAGAGGACTGATGCCTGGACATTGTTACACAGGTCACTCAAGATGCAAGAAGACCGCCTGAAGGGCTCACTGGTGGAGGTGGCTCCCAAGAAGCCACACAAGAAAGCTGCCTGCTGCTTCTAACCACCTGTCCTGTCCTGTCCTACCCAGGGTAGGATGACTACCCCCTGACTTCCACTCCCTCAGCTCCTGACCTGTCTTATGGGGCAGCAATGACAGAGAGGACAGCTGGAAGTTCAGTCCTTCTCAAATCAGATTGGTTTCCAAAGCAGAGACTGTATTTATTACCTCTGCCCTTTGCCCTCCAAAAAGGACTTCTGGTTTGTAAATAAGCCTTGGAGGCTGGGGACATTCTTTACAACTCTATAAAGAAAGGAAAAGTCTAGAAAACCAACTTAAGGAAAATACAACAAAATATTGTCTACAAGCTCAGTGCCCATACTCAGTGAGTAGGGCGCCGGCCACATACACCAAGGCTGGCAGGTTCAAGCCTGGCCCAGGCTTGCTAAACAACAATGACAACTACAACCAAAAAATAGCCAGGCATTGTGGCGGGCACCTGTAGTCCCAGCTACTCGGAAGGCTGAGGCAAGAGAATCGCTTAGGCCTAAGAGTTTGAGTTTCCTTTGAGCTGGGACACCATGGCACTCTACCCAGGGCAACATAGTGAGATTCTGTCTCAAAACAAATAAATAAATAAATTAAAAATAAATAAAGAAAAGAAATATTGGCTACATATCTGTGGGTGGTAAAATTATAGGGTGATTGTGAGGGGTGTTATTTTCTTTTTTATAAATGTTCGTATTTTCAGATTTTCTACAACGACAGGGTATTCTATGTATAATCAGAAAAGAGTCAGGAGGAGGAAAGAAACTTTTCAAGGCGCTTACTTTGGTGGTGATTCCTAATTGTACAATCTGTTAATTACAAAGTACTCTGGTTATTAAAGCCGTCCTGCTCTTCTTTGCCTGGTGGAGTGTTGCTGACCTCGTCTTGCTCATGGTTGTGTTGGAAGCACAGCGTTTCTCCTGAGCGGAATCCCATGGCTAGGGAATGGTGATGTTCGAATGGCCCCTGCTATGCCCGAATGTCCTCCTGTCTCCCTGAGCCCCAATCTCACTCCTTCTCTCCACTAGCCACCTCCAAGGGGTCATATTTGGGAGTCCTGTCCCCTGCCCCAATGCCACAATGTCCCTAGATGCAGCACTGTGCCCTGACGTGTCAGTGTCTGGATGCCTGGGAGGAGCAGCTGGGGTGTGGCTGGTGGGGCCTGGGAAGCAGCCAGGAAACCTGGCTTCAGACTCACTGACAGGCTCCTCTGAAGATTTTGCAGGAGTTCCCAGAATCTCGCAACATCCGCCCTTGGGGAGCTTGCTCTTATAGTCTTAGGGAGACAGCCTTTCTTCCATTGGCTTATCTCCTATTGTCTGTTTGTGGCAAATGTCGATCATGTTTTGCCATCACCACCAACTGACTGTCCACTGCAGGCTGGCCACTGAGTTTGGTACTAAGTAACCATTGAGGCGCTAGGGGAGTCCCTGGCAGAATCACAGGAGATTTCGGCTTCGTAGAGAGACGAGTAAAGGCAGTTCCAGGACAGAGTTACAGAGAAAGAGAATGAAGGAGAAAGGGGAAAAGCAGGAGGTGGAGGGCAGAGCCCTGTTCTCTTATTTAAGTGGCCCACATCCCTCTCTCAGGCCTACCAGAGGTGCCTCAGCAGCAGTAAGCTTCCAGTCACCTAAGGCACATGCCAGGAGCCAGGTGACACCTGGCAGGAGGTGGGGTGGAGATGATTCTAGTGTGGAGAAGCCAGCAAAAGCTGGGCCAGATGCCTGTAGTGGGTCCCCTTCGACCTCCAAGCTACATGCAGATGATTCCTGGATGCGAGGACTGATCTTCCTACTGGGCCTCTCACTGACTCCTGCAGGGTCTTCTCCCTTCTCTGCCCTCTCCCCAGACCACAAACGTACTTGCTTGCAGGGCTGGAGTGAGTGACACCTGGTCCCGGGTGAGCTGGGGTCATTCTGTTGCTAATGGCTCTCTCTGGGGTCCAGGGGCCTGGCAGGCACTGACATCTCTGTCCTGTGGGCCAGGGAGTTAATGAGGCAGGGAGGCAGGCGTGACTCCTGAGGGAGCCAGTAGAGTAGACAGAGCCACTGTCCTTTGGGGGGCCCAATATAGGAGTGCTCCCCAGGCCTGCCCCTCCCATCTCAGCTCTGCTCTGGCCTCAGGCAGCTCAGGTTCCCCAGAGGTGGGGTGCTGGAAGAGACTGCACACTGCCCAGAGCCCTCTCTCGGCTTTCTCCGGCAGGATCCACCTTATGGACAGGGCCCAGCTGGGCAGAGGCCACCAGACTTTCCCAGTGTCAAAGGGCTTAGAAGCTGACAAGCAGGATCCAGGAACCTCAGAGCTGCATGAGGTAGGTAAGAACAGGAGGGAATATGGTAGAACTCAGAGTGAATGTTCAGGCAAGTGGTGAGTTCTCAGGGCACATCAGCCAAGGGGCTTCTGTCTACAACTTAGATTAAGGCTGATTAAGAAAAGGAAGATGATAGCACTCTGGGAGCCTAGGCAGGAGGATCGCTTGAGCTCAAGAATTCAAGACCAGTCTTAGCAAAAGGGAGACTCTACATCTACTAAAAATAAAAAAATTAGCCAGACATTGTGGTTTGTGCCTATAGCCCCAGCTACTTGAGAGGCTGAGGTAGGAGGATTGATTGAGTCCAGGAGTTTGAAGTTGCTGTAAGCTATGATGCCACTGCATTCTAGCTAGGAAGACAGAGCAAGACTCTGTCTCAAAAAAACAGAAAAGAAACTCAGGTGTGGACTGGGAAGGGGACTACAGATGGGCAGAATGGAGGTGGGACAGGAACTCCAGGAGAAGAGAGCTTTTTAGAACTGAGGGTGAGCAGGGAAAGAACTACAGCCACCCTGGACCAGCGCCCACGACATGTCAGTACTGCTCTGAGCACTTGACTCACATTACCTCATTAATCCTCACATCACCACTATGAGGCTGGGCATGTTATTATCCCAATTTTACCAGGGAGGAAAGTGATGCATATAGAGGTTGAGTACTCATCCGTACTCACATAGCTAGTAAGTGCTAGAGCTGATTTTAAACCCAAGCTCCACTTGCCACAAGTTTAACCCTTAAGTTAGGAACCTCTTACAGGATGATGTGGATGCTTGTGCAGAGCAGGGCCAGGTCCGGCAGGCCTTACCCCCCTGCTCCTCTCCGGTAATGTTCTATGTCATCGGTGGGTGTGGACCAGGAACAGGAGATAAAAAGGCAACAAGTGACAGGAAAGTGGCTGGACTGCAGCATTCATCCAGGGCAGTTGGGGTATGTGGGCAGGTCCCTCATTTCCTCCTTCTCCTGCAGCCCCTGGACCCAGAGTCTGGACCCTCAAAGGGGGTGTTGGCATCAGAATTCATAGAGGCTCAGAGGGCATGAAGCGGGATCTCACTTAATGTGCACATTATGAGGGTGTATAACACAACCCTGGGTGAGGGGCTCTTCTACAAATGGAACTTTACCTGGAAGTGAGAACAATATAATCTAAATATTGTATCCTCATATTAAATTGAATAAAGTTTTTAAAAAAGAAGAATTCATAGAGGCCCCTCTGCAGTCTCTCCTGAGTTGCCTTCAGGCACACTGCTGCCATGGGGCCTCAGAGACCCAGCAAGTCTCCCAGCAGGAGCTCTGCAGGAGGGACTCAGGGACCCCTTCAAACCTGGTTTTGAACTGCAAGAGAAGGGCCTCTCCCAAACACCCAGTGTAGGAGAAAAGGGGAAGGAAACTCCAATCAGGACCCCACTGGGCTGTCTTGGGTGCTGCTGCCTCTCAGTACCTGGCACAGAGTAGATGCTTAGGACATACTGAGGTAGCGGGCAGATCAGAGCTCAGGGACCCCGAGTGCTCTATAGGCAGTCCCTGGGCTGACTCTAGAATGTCAATATCCCATCTCTTCACCAGAGTCCTCCCTGTTGCCTGTGGAACAGAGTAGGGGTGAGGAGGGAGGTCTGACAGCTATGTGTAGACTCCCCCTACCTTGTCAGGGACTCATTCAAACAGCAACCTCAAGGGCAGTGGTTCCCAAACTGGTCTGCTCTGAGAATCATCTGGGACCTTTCAAAAATGCCAAACCCCAGACCAACTCAAAACCATATTTCTGAGGCTTCAGTATTTTTGAAACTCCCCCGGTGATCCGAATGTGTAGACAAGCTTGGAACCACTGGCAGGGGGCTTGACGCCTTCTTAAAGCCCTTTTGTGTCCACTTTCTCATTTTAACCTCAAATTAAACTAACTCTGCCCATTTCATAGCTATATGTGTGTATATAATCTTTTTTTTTTTTTTTGAGACAGAGCCTCAAGCTATCTCCCTGCGTAGAGTGCTGTGACATCACAGCTCACAGCAACCTCCAACCCCTGGACTCAAGCGAGTCTCCTGCCTCAGCCT